GGAGCCCAAAAAGCCGGACATGTCCGGGAAAATCCGGACGTATGGTAACCCTAGGACTGCTTCTCCCAGGAAGGTCCTCGGCTCAGATGTGGAGATGCAGCCCTGGAGGGGCTCCTGGCCCCTGTCACGGAGTGTGAGGGAGACAAGGCCCTGCACCCCAGGCTTCCTGCAATTCACCATGACTCTCAGCCAGCCAGTAAAACAGAAGGTTTATTTAGATGACAGGAACACAGTCCAAGACAGGTCTTGAAGGTACAGACAACAGGACTCTTCAGTTAGGTCCCTCTTTGGGGGCCCCAGGGAGGCCAGAGTCCCGTTGAGAGGTCAGAGCCCCATCCGGGCTCCCCTCCATTTTCCCAGCCAGCTCCAAACTGAAACTCCCTCCAGCCGTTTCACTCAACCTCCCCCCGGGCTCCTCCCCCAGCCTTTGTCCAGTTTCCCGGGCAGAGGTGTTACCTGGCCTCCAATTCCCCGCCTGGGTTCTGAGGTTACTTGCTCAGGTATCTTCCCTCAAGAACAGTCTCCCATCCCCAATGCAGACCGTCCCAGCCAAACTCCCCTGCAACCTTCCCGGGCTAACACTTCCCAGTCAGCATTCAAAGAACACATTAAGAACATTCCCAGTTCATCACAGCCCCTTCCTCCACCAGGGCCCCAGCGCTGGTTTGCCCCGAGGGCAGGGGTGTTACCTGCGTGGAGATGAAGCCCACGTACAGGTTCTGCTGCTTGCTGAGCCAGCGGACGATCTGGGCGGCGGTCGTCATGTCGGCAGCAGACACGTTGGGCAGGGAGAGATAGGCCAGGAGCACATAAGCCGTCATCTCCACCTCCGCCGATGGGGCCTGGTTCCCGTAGGGGCTGGGCAGGGCCTTCACCTTCCTCTGCCAATGGAGCTGTTCCCCTAAGAGAGGGGTCGAGGGAAGGGTAGCCCCACGGCTGCAGTTACAACACAGTGGGTCACCTGTTTGCTTTCCAAAGGGCCCCAGGGGCTTCCCAGGCCAGAGGGACTCCTGCTCCCCACTGAATGCAGCCACCTCTGGGGCAGGACACGGCAGCTGATTCATAGCGCACAGGAGGGCTACACAAGTGTGACACGACACCCCTGGGTGGGTTGTCTGCAGGGACTGAACCCTGGACCTCTGAGTCGAAACCCCTGAGCCTCTGCTGCCCGAGCTAAAAATCCAGCCCCGGTGGCTCACCGACTGCAAGTGACCCCGAAACCTATGTGGTGCGATTGTTTGGGGGCAAAGGTGGTGCTAACCCAATGGGGTCCCTAAGCAGGAATATCTCTCCCCCCACCAGCCCATTACAAATATTAGCTGCATTATAGCCCCAAACCAAAAAATAGCCCTGTGACGTTGCACTCCATATTCTTTATGAAAATATGCTTATGAGATGAATATGACATCACTGAGATACACGTTACACAAGATGGCTCATGTGAGATATCAAAGGTTCTGATTTACTCAATGTGATTATCCAATTTGTATGCATGTATCATCTCTGTATCTAAAGTTAGGCATATAAGTGATCTCTCTCCTCTCCTGCCATCCACCTCCATCCTCTGACAAACAGAGGCTAGGGACACCATTCCCTAACCCTCCCTGATAATAATCAGTAAACGAATTAACCAGCAAG